CCCCCAACCCAACCCCACCCCCACACACACAAAAAAACAAAAAAACAAAAAAACAAAATCTTTAGATGATTATTAGATAACCCCTCATAACTTTCGGAATATCACAAACCCCTCCATAAGTTAGGGGTTATGAGAAAACCTCCTTTAACTTGAAGATTTCCCCCAACCCAACCCCACCCCCACACACACAAAAAAACAAAAAAACAAAAAAACAAAATCTTTAGATGATTATTAGATAACCCCTCATAACTTTCGGAATATCACAAACCCCTCCATAAGTTAGGGGTTATGAGAAAACCTCCTTTAACTTGAAGATTTAACACAAAAGCCCTCTAACATCATTAACCAAAATTTTCACATAGGTATGTAAAACTATTCAGGTGAATATTCTTGCCAATAGAATTGCAGTTGATGTTTTTTGGCAGGGCGAGTGTGCTTTCTTATAAAATCTAAAAGTTAAAGGGACTTTCGTAATAACCTTACCTAATGAGGGTTTTCTGGTACTTAGCCTTGATATGAACAAGAAACATTTATATAATATACATAAAAATAATATATACATTAATCATAGATATTAAAGTATATGGGCCTACTTTATTTGTACATGGACAAATAATAATTATCCAATTTATTTTTAGGAAAAATTGTGTCAATGTCCTAAATTTCAAAACTCAATGTGCCACAGCCCCTCATACTTTTTGCAATGTGCTGCAGCCCCCAAAATTTGAAAAAAAATATGGACCGGCCCCTCCAGCTCATGATTAGCCCATATTTGACCTAAAAACCAAATTTTACTCCTCTTCTCCCTCTCCTTCTCCTTCCTCATCCTCCTTCCTCCTTCCTCCCGATCGATGATCCTCCAGTCCGTCGCGAACTCTGCATGGGCTCCACCGGCGATCCTCTTCCTAGTCTCCTTCTCCTTTCTCATTCTCTCCTCTCTCATCCTCCTTCCTCCTTCCTCCCCGGCGATCCAACCCCTTCATCTCCACCGCTCTCTTCACTCTCTACGCTGTCGGCGACTCTCGCGCCTCCGTTCGTAGCATGTTCGATGAAATTCCTCAACCGAATCTCATCTCAATCACCGTCATGGCTC